TGTGAAAATTTTTTAAAAAAAAACAAGGAATAAAACCCCAAAAACCCCCCCCCCCCCCCCCAAAAAAAAAAAAACATTTAAATTTTAAATGATATTCTGTTAGGATAACAGTTACTGCTCGGATGCTGCATCTTACTGTGTCAGGGAGAATGACAGAAAGGGAAGGAACAGAAAGGAACCTGATCACCACTGTCCCACTTTTATTGATCACATTATATGTGCCACTGTCTGAGGGGACTGAGAGTCTTTCAGAAAATGCACCAGGGTTTATTTCTCAAAGTAGAATAAGACACAGATAGTTTCAGTAAAATCCAGTTTTTGGATTTAGTTTAGAAAATTGAGCTAAACCTTCTCTGAGTTGGATTCATATATGATTAATCCTACTCATATGTGATAAATCTTGTTGCATTATTTTTGTAAAGTGCCTTGAAAAGACATTTTTTGTGAATTGGCAAATAAACTGGATTGTACTGAATTATCTAAACACAAAATACCAATGAGTGAAATCCAGTTTATATTTAAGGTTATCAAACACTGTAAATGTACAGCATTCTTCTGTTTTGAATAACACACTTTTCCTCACTTGCATAATAGTATGCCTCTAAAACACACTAGCTTTTATGAACATAATTATGAAAGCCATGACTTTAGTAAGCCTGTTGTGTTTGGCAAAGTTCAAAGATTCAAATAAAGGAACTGGAACAAATTACATCTTTGTAACTGACTCCTCTAACAGTTGTATACAAATCTGTTTCCTGTTGGCAGTGGGGTTTGCTCTAATCAATTTATCTATAAATTATGAAACTTCATTTCATGTCCATTTTTAGATAAGAAAATAAGAAAATTCATTGAACATGCGTGTTGTACTGAAATATAAGCAAAAAAAAGATCTTCAGAAGTATTGAAGCAATACTGATTGAGAGCTTTTTTTTTTACATGAGGACGTTTTGAACATATGCAGATCTTTTTCTGTTAAATACCGTCATTTGATTGGCCCCACAGAGCAGCGGTCAGCCTCCATCACCCTGCGAGCCAGCGTCATTGGCTGATTCTACTGACAATCAATTGGAATATACCTACGTCATTGAGGTGCCATAGCTGATTGGTTAGCTGTTCCGTAAAATCTCACCGCCGAGTAGGTAAGATTATGTTCACCATGTTGGATCAAGTGTTTATCCTGTTTACCTTGTGATCAGTTGGATCATGTCAGCGGAGCGTCATCGTGCTGAAGTGTAAAGGACCCGCAGCCCGGCTCCCCGGCCCCCGACACGCCGCGGTAAGCCTTCCTGACACCGACAGGAGGAGGAGGACTTCGATGTGGAGATGAAGCTGCCCACTCTGTTAGCTAGCTCCGAGCTGTCAGGTTAAGAAACTCTCGTCTTCATACGGGCGGCACGCAAATTTATTTATCTTACGTTAAAGAAGAACTTTTTCTCAGATTGTTATCACGTCTCTCTGGGCTTGTACTTATTTAGAGGACAGAGCGAAACAGCCCGAAAACAAAGATTTCGTCGGCAAATCAAGTCATCTAGAAGGAACTATGAGGGCTTGTGCTCTAATGTTTTGAGCAATGGTCACAGCCCCTCTGCTCGGGATGATGGGGGTTTCTCTCTAAACAAACAGTTCCATGTGAGTGGATGGCGGTGGCTCGGGCCTGTCTGTCTGCTTGCGTCTGCTGTTGTATTATCGCCTTAGCCGGGATACTCCCCCTCTGCACCGGATCTGCGCCGTTAATCACGGCTCGGAGATTACCTCTGTTTACGGAATAGCTGCCTCGCTCTGCGCGCAAAAATAGGAAGAGGAGTCCATTTGGAATAACAGATGCAGTTTCCCGGCTGCGTGGACCCCCCTTTATGGGAGGATTTGCGGCGCTGGTTCGAAGCCTGTAAAAAACTTTGGCACTTGTTTTAGATGAATGTTGTTCCCATGTGACGGGCTCCAGATCACACTGCTGTGGAATCAACACGCTCTACAATGGGAGACATCAAAATCCAACAACTTTATTTATTCAAGGGGGCTCAGGTTTATTTCCACTAATTATTTTTGTTTGGTTGTGTCAAGTTTTATTATTATTATTATTATTATCATTATTATTTTTTTACACTTGACATTGCTTTAAATTTTAGCAAAAGTATCTTTAGTTTCAGATCACTGAAACACAAGTGAGAAAACTGTGACTGCTTTTTTTTTAAGTTGCATTATGATAAACATTATGGCAAACAGTTTTATTTACATATTGTGTGAAGATTTAAAGTAACTGATGGTTTGTCATTTAAAGCCAGAATCTGTTTTATTGCGTTTTCAGTGTAAGGGTTCAGTCTGGTAGCCTTCATCCCCCCTTTTTGGCCCGGTGGAGGTTTTTTTTTTTTTTTTTTTTTTTTTTGCCTTGCTGAATGGCTCTTTGCAGCACAACTGCCACAAACGTTCCAAAAATGATGACTGCTTACAATGGTGGCTCCTCAGCAGTGGCTGCCCATCACCATCACCAGCTGCAGCACCTCCCGCCTCCCCACATGCACCATCACCACCACCACCACCAAGCAGGACAGCATCACTTGCAGCACCCGGGTTCTGCTGCAGCCGTGCGCACGGTGCAGCAGCACACATCCACTGCTGCGGCTGCAGCGGTGATGCTCAATCCTGGCCAGCAGCAGCCCTACTTCCCCTCTCCTGCGCCTGGACAGGCTCCAGGACCTGCTTCAGCTGCAGCTCCAGCCCAGGTTCAAGCTGCTGCTGTCAAGTCTCACCATCACCACCACCACCACCACCACCACCACCACCAGCAGCAGCAAAACACGCACCACCTTCAGCAGCAGCTGGACATAGAGCCTGATCGGCCCATCGGCTACGGTGCGTTTGGGGTCGTCTGGTAAGTGAACAACTCTTAAATTTGCTTAACTTCTTCACATCTTCCCTTTTCAGCTACCTCTCTTTCTTCTTCATATATTAGAATGACACGCGTACCTAAGACCTAAAATTTCTTTTTGGAATTTTTCTGTTGTCATTTTTAAGTTTGCTTACTATCTTGTTTTTTTTTTTTGTTAAGATATTTTAAATTCTGTTTTGAGGAATTCTTAAAGCACAGAATTAATTAATGTTTATGACCTTTTAATTAAAGCAGAAATTTCAAAGACATTTGATTTCTGCCATTAAAAAGTCCATCCATCCATTTTCTATACACTGGGGTCCGGAGGGTTGCTGGTGCCTCTCCAGCTAATGTTCTGGGCGAGAGGTGGGGTCACCCTGGACAGGTCGCCAGTCTGTCGCAGGGTAACACAGACAGACAGGACAAACAACCATGCACACACACACTCACACCTAGGGAGAATTTAGAGAGACCAATTAACTTGACAATCATGCTTTTGAACTGTGGAAGGAAGCTGGAGTACCCGGAGAGAATCCACCATGCACAGGGAGAACATGCAAACTCCATGCAGAAAGACTCTGGGCTGGGAATCGAACCCAGAACCTTCTTGCAAGGCAACAGCTCTACCAACTGCGCCACTGTGCAGCCCCCATTAAAAAATGATCTGAAAAAAAAAACAAAAAACAAAACAAAAACAACTGTAAACTTTGGCTACTGGGTGCATACTGTAGCATCCAATGTCTCAGGGTGAAAGTAAAAGCTTTTGCCAGATCAACAGCCATCTCCAAAAAGAAACTAAATCAAACTAGAGGAAACTGAAAGAGCTGCTTCCCTGAATATTATGTAACAAAGCCTAACAAAATGACACCTGTTCCAAAACCCAGAACCTGAATAGTAACAAAACAGTGGCGCATATCCAGTCACAGTATAATTATAAAATGGAGTCTTTAAATGGCTTTCCCAAACCAATAAGTAGCACGACAACTGTCAAAAAGAATGAACTTAAAACTCAACCTAGAGTTAAAATGTTTTATTCACATGAATGAATTAAAGTTTTGGGGCTCAGACCCCGGCAGAAGATGTGGGCGCTGTGAACTGCAATAAGCTTGGATGATTAGCTGGCGATGAGGATTTGAGATGTTTTCCTGCCCGGGGTAGCACACTGGTGGAGGCCTGAAGGAGCCAGGAGGATGAGGGTGGAGCAGGGGCGGAGGTGGCTTGAGCTCGGCTGATGAGCAGATGGAGGCACTGATAAACGGTGGCTCACTTGATGATTGGCTATGACGAGGTGTGGTCCAACGCTGATAGGCTGCGATTGGATGATGCAGCTGAGGCTGGAGGGTCTTCCAGTTTGGATT